GATAAAGTTCATGATTCATAATAGACACATTTCAGGACATTTCTTGTAGTGTGTGGTATCAATATGATTCTGTCCTGTTTCACCAGTGAATGGTGTTTATTTTCAGTGACACCAAAACAAATTCCTGTCGGAGTGTTGCTGTTGGCAGAAGAAGCAAATGTGATGGTGCTATCACAGCACCACACTGGGCCCGATGCTAATTCCCTCTGCCAGAGCATCTGTGCCGAGCTTGGCCACTGGATCGGGATTTGGCAGGCAACGCTCGAGGCAGCAGGCCGTGTGCTTCTTAAGGCCGGAGACTCCCCTGGGGTGACAGAGAGGGGACAGAACAGGGAACAGGTTTCTTTGCCCCAGCGCCAGCAGCACGGCTGTGTGTGAGCACGAGTGTCGATGTGTGCACGCACTTGCGGGAGATGGCGAAGTGGTGGGAACGCCTTCGAGTTCAATGCAGAGTGAAAAAGGCAGCAGCTGCTGAGTGAAACGCCAGCACTGTGCATTGTTGTCATATATTGTTCTTTGGAACAGTGAAGCTGTTCAGGCTGAGTCGGATACTCCTCACGGCCTCACCAACTTTTACAGCCTTCAAGCAAACTAATGGAAGCTTCCCTGGAGTTATGTTGTTGGTAAAACCACTGTATTAATATTAATTATCAATTAACATTATTAAGTCCGGTGCAATTGTCATTTTTCTTTATGTCTTTACAACATATGACATTCAGAAATTATAAAAATGACGTCCATCGTTTTTCCTTGTTAGCATCAATGACCAGTAACTTTTCACTTGGAAGCTTCCCTCTGAAAGGGCAATTATCAGATCATGATTTACAATATGTTACAGTGCTTTACTGTTAAAGGCTTCCTGAGAGTCTGTGCTGTGCACAGACACAGAGCTATTAACCTTTTTAGTCCTGGCTTCATACTCAACTGAATGAAATTATGCACTTAACATTCAAGGCTGAGCTGACGACAGTTTCTCCTGCCCATACGTCACAGTGTTATAGCACAGAGCGGTAATGGGATTGCACAATGTAAAAATGGCCCAATTAACACTAAAGTGGACAAAGTGAATGGTAACGTTTACGTCTGCATTCAGATTTACCGCTTGACATCTTAAGTGCTGCATTTTTGTTGGCTTTGTAGTAATAGGTTTGCAGTTTCAAGCCTAAGAAGATGCCCGCTCCAGTCATCGCTCCAGTCTTTCTTTTCTGTCTTTTTGTTTAGTTTTGTTCTGCGATGAGGGAAAAACATGGATGAGCAGAACATCAGACACATGTAGGCGGTACCACAGATGTCTCGTACCAGGCTACATGGAGTTTGCTCAGGCAGAGATGGGAATTATGCGAAAATAAATACATTTTCTTAGGAACAACACAATGTTGTCATATAGTATCTAATGTATAGAGCAAAAGTCTTTAACCACCCCTCATTTTTATCATTTCTTTGATTGAATCTCTGAAAACTGCCAAAGATAACTGCCTGACAGACAGAAAATATTATTATTTCAAAAGCACGGTGATTCCAAAAGATGTATTAGTCAAAAGCTTAGCATATGTTTGCACAGTGTGCAGTGTGACTTTCAATTTTTTTTTAATGAAACTGGACAAGTGGAGGAAAAAAGAAGTGGCAGACAAACAAAAAACTATCTGCAGCAGGTGAACGGTATCTAAAAGTCATGTTCTTAAGAAACAGAAAATAAAAACTCAAGAGACACATCTGGTCTTCACTTCAACTGATCCCTCTACTGAAGCCTCATCAGATATGGTCTCAGTGAAAGGGATGCTGTCAAGAAGCCATTCTTAAGGATTAATTAAATTATAACAGAACAGTTTTTGCCTTATTTACTGTATTTCCACACGTGTTAGCACATTTTAATACATATTGCACCTATTTCCCGTTTTTATCCCAAAATATAAGGAAATGGGGGTTGTCCAAGTATTTGCATAGTACTGTATATAGATGGGTATATTTGGTACACTTTTTTCAGATTTGATACAATCCAATGCAACAGCTGTGCAATAGATTCTACATTTGCAAAGCTTATACATTTTCACTCCACTGCTTAGTGAAAGGGCCAAAAATGTGACCACTGTTATTCAGCGAAGAAAGTCAAACAAACGTCAGAGGGTTGTTTGACCAGTTGTGTGATATCAGTGGTTGACTTTAGTTCCTTTACGTAGATTTGACCCCAATGCTGCAAAATAGGACAAAAAAGGCAAATGTGCAGTCTGTGCAGCAGGTACCATTCAGCTGTCAGCGCCTACTCAAATCAACATCTAGCCACCTATAGCATAGCTCAGACAGATGCTGTTGTGGGCTTGGGACCAATGGGAACAGGGTAGAATACAAAACAGGAGTACAAGAATGCTGCATATTGTCTGTGTGTGAAGCAGCTCGCACACAATGCGAGCCTTCATTTGGTTTGCTTCCATTGTGCCTGGGATTTCTTGGGTCCTGTCTCAGCTGAAGGACAGAAAAGTCTTCATTCAGCCTGCTAGGGCTTCTTCAGACCTGCCATTGTCGTGGCATCTCGTCTCTCTGTCGCAGTGTTTTCCTTTCTCTCGAGGATGATTGATACCTCTCCGCTGCAGAGACACGACTTTATAATTGTCGCTCAGCAGACTGTGCGGTTTGGAAGCTTCTGACTGATACCGGTGCCGCCTCACCTCTTCGTTTCCTGTTCTCAAAATAGGAAAGTCAGAGAGGATTGAGATTACTTGCAAGGTCAATGAGGCAGTCTTGCTAAACGATACTGAATATGGTTGATGGTTTAATAATGCAGCCGCCTTGGACTTTCACTCACACATTTCTCTCTTCCGTGCCTCCCGTGGCTGTTTTAACCAACAAAACTTGGTGAATAGCTACTTTTACTCCTGAATGCACCCGAATAATTTAGGTGTGATGTCATTCGAAGTAGCAGCACTGTGAACACACTGTTTAATTTTGCCGTAAAAAGGAGAGCCAGATGATAAATGGTTGACCTCCAGACTGAGCCTGCTCTGAATGATTTAGTCAAAGCAGCCAAAGTGCCTCGAAAGAATGGCTCCTTTAGGGGGGAAAAACACAGACACACACACACAAAACTTTTCTTCTTCTTACGTTTTCTGGGGAAGTGCCTGAAAAAAGTCGTGACAGGCTTGTTAAAGCAGCCCCCCCTCCTCAACACACACCAGCCTAACAATGCTACCCCGCCACTGTTCTCCTTCACTGTTGCTCTTCTGCTCTACTGGTTGATGACGACTAAGAGGATTTAGCTCGGCCTGCTGCAAAACCCTTGGTTCCCCTCAAGTTAGACTAAGAAGTGTAGGAAAATGTTCGTGTGAACTTCACTTTCAGTTAGACGGTTTTTTTTCTGTAGTTATGCTGAACAGAGATCACTTTTAGGTGCTCACGGGCCACTTCTGGTCACATGTTTGATTGCAACCTCGAAATTAATTAAAAAGCCAAAGTTCCTAAATGTGAATATTTGGTTGACACTTGGATCAAATAGAAGAGTAAGGGGCTCATTATACCCGCTATCCGGCTTACATCAAAATAATATCACATTAGCTGTTATAAGCCACCGTGTCTGCCGGTCGTGCACGTTTCGATTTCAGACAAATTTTACACATCAGCGCTGGAAGTCAAAACCCAAAGCAAAGACATACTTTTGCAACACCTCCTTCTGCATAATCTGTGAATCCCCGAGTTTCTGTACTGATATGTCATTAAATCTGTGGTAAAAATCAACACGATCATACACTTGTGTCTTATGTACACTGTATATAATGGCAGCCACTCTAGAAAGTGACAGCTCTAAGAAGACTTATTAATATTTGCAGGAGTGCCTATTATTCAGGAGATGTCCATTAAAGTCACAGTTAAAGAGTTCTAAAAGAAAAATGTCAACAGAAGTTTAAATGAAAGTCTTTCTGGCAACATGGCCTAAAGGCAGTTTTTTTTTCTTCTTCTCTTCTACTAAATGTGTCAATGCTACAACCCACAAACGTTTCTACAGAGTCTCAGGAGGTAGAGTGGGTCGGTGGCTCGATCACGCCGGCAGCATCTTTGGGCAAAATACAGAGGATCCTTTCTGTTTCGAAAATGGGAAATTTTTGAAACGTGTTCAAACAAACATGGAAAAACAGTGTGACATTATTTTTCTGTGTTCATAAATCTATTAGTTTTGGCACGATCCCCAACACCACTGGGTCCAATGTAGCCCCGAACAATGACAGAGCCTCGACCAGACATTCACGGTCTCTCCTGACCTCCTCCACACACATATTGATAACAATTAATAGGTCAGGAGAGTTCAAATTTGGATTCATCGCTCCAAAAGACCTGTTTCCATCATTTGGAGTCCACTTCTTATGTAATCTGGCATACGTCAGCCATAAAAATAGCTACTTGAAAGCCACTGAGACAATTTCTGATGAGGCTTTATTGAACACTAGCTGGATCAACTGAAGGGCCGGATGAATCTTGCACGTCTTGTGTTAGGTCTTTACTGGATTTTTTCCTATTCCTTTAAAGACATCAATATTAGATACTGTTCATTTGCTGGAGATAGCTCTTTGGGAATCATCTTAGTGCAAAAATCTTATTTTTATGCCTGTCAAACTGTGTTATGTGTTGCATTTTTTTAATAGTTAGGTGCAGTTTTTATGCCTGAATGAGTCACAGGTTATACGACTGATCTGAAAATAAGATAAAAAGCAGCCGGTGTTCAAAGAAAAACTTTGATAGACCATCAGAAAGCCTGGGAACTATAAATTACCAGAAAATCTGACTCCATGGATGGAAATCTAAAGAAGTAAAGGGCGGCTCGAGAACCTTTGCGCAGTTCCGTACGTGTTCTGTGCAATTGTTGGCCGTCATCTCTTTTCCTGAGCGTGTTTAGTAAACTCACCATCTGGATTGTTGTGAATGACTCATGTGTTTGTGCTTATTAAAAACACCCCAGCAGTACTAAACTAAACATGTTTTCCTGCCTTCGTCTCTTTCTGCGTGTCTGTGTTTAGATTGTGCAGTCTGACCCTGAAGAAGCTGGTCGTCATGAGGGAACTTGATAAAGAGCTGATTTCTGTGGTCATAGCAGTAAAAATCCAGGTACGCTCTACATACAGTTAAAAACACGACACAACAGAATGTGGTTTGTGTGTCCTGTTTGAGGAAATCATGTTGATTGATCTCATTTTGGTAATTTAAAAAAACGTTTTGTTTTAAATGGTAGTGCGCATCATTTTAGGTCCTTCATATGCACACTCTATAAAGTGTTGCAAAGTAAGTAGCAGCTTTCAGAGAGAGTGCATACTTTCAGCATATAGTGCTCATTAAATGAAACACCAAAGGGTTAGTATTTTTTAAATTATTTAAATATTCACGTGTGTTTTTGCAGGGCTCCAAACGGATTTTAAGGTCCCATGAGATTGTGCTGCCACCCAGTGGGTCTGTGGAGACTGATCTGGCTCTCACCTTCTCGCTGCAGGTAAAGGAGAAAAAAACCCCCATCACCTTAAAAAACAACAACAATGAGAAAACTCAAACATATGTTCCCAAATAAACCACATGGGAACAGGTCTTAACTCTGCATTTGTTCTTCTTCTTCGAGGTAACATCTGACATTGTTAACTATGCGTGGGATGAGGTTTATTGCCATAGTTGCCATGGTAACACAGTTCCATTATAGATCATTTTGTGTATTGTAAGAAATGAAGAAATGTATTTTCCGCAGTGCTGAAAGCATGTATTAGTCTTTGAGCGTGCACGGATATTAAGCCTGGCAACAACAAAATCTGCATCAATTCGCGCACGCACACGCGTTCAGTACAAGCTGGAGGCTGAGGCAAACTTTAATGCCGTGTCTCTGGACTATTTTCAGTCAGCTCGGTTTCAAAAACAAATCCACAGGGTGATGGAGAGGCAGATTAGGCGACTTTTAATTGAGGATGTTTGAATCGCGCGTAATGCAATAATTAGCATTTGTCATTTTAAGTGAACAGTTCATCAGTTTATGATTATGTGCAGCTGACTCGAAGGAAAACTACAGCACCTCTCTAATGAAGGAACTGTCACGTAGTGCTCCAGTTTGCCTCGCTGATGGTTTTGAACACCAGTGCTGGCTTTTTCTATGTATTTGTTTTTGTTTTTGTCTTTTTGTGGACTTTGCTAAGAATAAGTGAAATATAGAATATCAACAGACCTTTGCTTTATTGTTCAAATCTATACTCCAAGCTGTGGGTCCAAGTATGAATGAGTAACTTACACTTTTTCCTCCTTGTTTTCCTGTTTCTCTCACACTCAGTACCCACACTTCTTAAAGCGGGAAGGAAACAAGCTGCAGATCATGCTCCAGCGGCGGAAAAGATACAAGAACCGAACCATTTTAGGCTACAAGACTCTCGCGATTGGATCTATCGATATGTCAGAGGTACACTCTTGCCCTGCATATATGCTCATGTTGTTCACCTCGAGTGTTAACAGTGGGTTCAGAAGCTCTGCTGCACTTGTGTTCTGAAGACTCTCTTTAATAGCAGAAAAGTGCCGGTCAGTTTTCTACCATCGTGCCAAAACAATTAAAACTGAAAAGTAATAATTGAAAGTCTTAAATTATCCTTAACATGTCCCTCTGTGTGGATACAGTTGTTTTTTCCCCCGTTTCAACCCAGATTATGATTTTATTAAATAAATACACGTTTTATTGTTGTTCAAATTAGAGGCTTATAAGTTCTAATAAAAGTCTCTTCTGAATTAGGGCTCATAACCCAAGGAGATGTTGGGCAGCTTTTTGTGCTCATCCAAAAACCAAGTGACTGATTATGAGCCCTTGGCACAGACTTGTAAAAGATCCTGTCCTATATAGACTCTCAAACTTAAAGAAACACACAGCGACCTCAAATCTCAAACCACAAGTCAAGCTGTTGGTGTTGTTGTTGCGTTGCTTGTCTGTGGTCATTCTCTTTGCTGTGGTTTGGCTTTTACTTTATTCAATTTTGTGTCTTTGTTGTTTGCAAGTCATTTTGTGCATCTTTGTTGTTGTTTGTAGGCATTTTTTAGTTTCTTTTTGTGTTTTTGGTGAGAGTTTATAGTCAGTTTTGGATTTCTTAGCAGTTTTTTTTAAAATAATTTTGACTTTCTTTGCTGCTGCTTTGAATTATGCTGAGGCTGAGTACAGTAATATATCATATCTTTGTCATGCCTTGTACCTCGTTATGGAAGTGAACAGCTGTCCAACAGGCCTGTTTTTTTTTTCCCATCTTTTCAAAATCCAAATAAAAAGAAGGTAACTTCTCTTTGAAAATTTCCTGTAACCACCATGAAGAAAATTGACAGTTTAATAGCAATAACACAGGTTTAATGCATTTATTCTCTTATATTTTTAGTAGATGAATCTTTTGTGTTTTAGGTGCAGTTCCATGATCTTCACATGAGATATTAAGCATTTGTAAAATCATCAAACATATGTACAGCGGCATCAGAAAGATGTTAAAAATGGAGGAAATAACAGAAACAGGCTTTTTGTGTTTTAAGAAAACCTTGAAGACACAAATGAATGGATTGATTTCACTGCACATGATGCTGATCCACCAAGGAGTTCCCATTTGGCTGACAAAGCTCAGCGGAGCTTATTAAGGTCACATCTCGGCAGCTGAGAGAAGGATAAAAAAAGCATTAATGCAGCTGAGATTGGGGGG